CCTGTTAAAAATGATTGTGACAAGCTTCATTTTTGATGCACTAAAATTGACTAGCGATGCGCCCCGGCTTTGCACGGGAAATTTCTGGATCTCGACAACAAGGCCAACTACCAGATCCATGTGAATATAAACCATCTATCGACCCATTCAAACACAAACAAAAAGTTTCATCCAAATCGGTTTGATGGTGCCGGGTTTCACGGTACCTAATATCCGCGTGAATAATAAAAATGATGTCTCTTATAGTATGAAGAGCCGTCAGCCATCGCATTCTATTTCTTCTGGTGGTGGCTCGTTGAGAGGCGAAAAACATATCTTATTATCGACAGTTGTGTGACTACTTGTGTAGTAGTGTTGTGGTAGTGGTGTTGGGATTAGGGGTAACAGTGATAGTGCACGCAATTACTCTTCAAACTATCATGCGGCTCTTAGCTATTTAATTTTTACGCCTTTAAAACAAAACATATGATAAAACGTACGTTCTGCATTCAAAAAGGAGGAGGATAGGAATAGATTGGATGAGAATACGACAAACTTGGTTTCACGGGGCTGCAATACGTTCACGAGGCACGTCTTTAAAATGTAAAACGACGTCCTTTTTTTAGGATAGGTTGACAAATGAGCACACAGTCCACTTGATGGTAAGTGGTTGCTGTGGCTCATAGACATCTACATCTGTGCTCGATCACGAATCAAAATGCAGATGCGTTGTCAACCGTGAGGACTAAGATTGGAATGCCTCGTTTCCAGTAAAAAGGGTCTCCGGTTCTCTACTCTTACCATACGAAACACAGCAGCATTAAGCTACTATTTTACGCCGGTATTCTGGGAGAGCGTGGTCCTTCCCCGGTCGAGCCGACCCATTCGTGCTACAACTATACTACTAATATAATTGCAGCATGGCTCTACCACGTTATAATATTCTTGTTGTTTGTTGTACGTGTTTAGAAGACTTCGAAAACAAAGCTTAATACAACTTTTTGTTCTTTATTTGTCTTGTTCTGTGTCTGTTTATTTGTTTACGCAGACCCATTGAAATTTTAACTATATATACATACCTTAAAATCAACAAAGGAAAATACACACATATATTCCCTTACATACATTTATGCCTACATACATATTTACCTACATACTATTATTAAAATTAACATGCCGTCTATTCATTGAATAAAACTATTATTTACGGATTTTATCGCGTTTAATTCAACTTTAATTTATTTTTACTATCCCGACGTTTCTCTCGGGTCCGTGGTCTCGGGTTATAATTTACAAAATTAAACCCAAACCCAAGCATGCCACTGCAAGACTTCATGATACTATAAGCTCATTTTGCGTAAATTGGACCAAAATTTAATATTCAAAAATTGAAGGTAGCCGGACTAACTACGACATTGACACGTCAAACATCTCAGTCCCCCCCCGTGACCACGGGTGCAACACCCGAAATGGGAAAAATTAAACGCCTAATATCATATTTTTTCGTTATGCCGTCTATTATTAGCCAAGTCATATAGCATGATAGCCTTGTAATACGCAGACTTACTTAACAAACTTTGCATTATGTCTACATCTAGATGATTTAAATTCACTATTTTAGCTTCCCTATTGCCTGTTTTCTGGGCACATTCCATCAATAAATGTTGCACATCATACACGAAACACAGTTTTGTGAATAAACTTTATGTATGAGATATGCAAAATTTCTTGCTAGAAAGCATCCAGGTCGTAACCTACGTGCTGTTACAATACGATTTCGAGGCAGTTGTGCTTCCATTAATTTATGCCATATTGTATTCCTTTTTATTTTTAATTTTCCTTGAATTTATTCTTTCACCTATTTAAACAAATTATACGAAAAATATTTAAGATTTCAGAGTACAACTGTTTTATACTCATAACTTCACCTTGTGATGATGTAATATTTGTTAATTAATCAGCCTCCTAGCAACTTTGTATACCATTATGTGATGGATTTCAATGCAACTTTCGAAACTTTCCTTTCTTATAAAGGACTATACTCGTATAATTTACATGATAGCAGCGTTTTCGAATGTAGATGTTATGCGATATCTTCGTTAATTGTGAACCAATTTTGATAAATTCTATAGTTTTATACTTGAAATTATTGAAACTACCTACCTAAAACCTACCTACTTACCTACCGTAAAAACCTTCTTACCTAAAATTTCATACTGTAATTTAATGAAATGATATTATTTTTTTAAAATAAGTAATTCTGTGGGTTCCTTTCTGCAAATTAATTTTAATGTAAACATAAAAATGGAAGGAGTGCGTCATAATATCATCGTTGAGTGGGAACTAGATAAGTCGCGTCGCAGATGCTCGTTTATTTAATTAATCATTTTTACTAGCGCTTGTTGAATACGACACATAACTTTGTAATTCGTTTAAAATTTATATGTAGCTGAATTTCATGAAACAAGATGATTAAAACTCATAAATTATATCTTGGGTTTGTAACTATACGTTTTTCTTTATGAATTGAATACAATCATCTTAGCTTATATTTAATTCATTGAATTGATAATAAACAATATCTTCACTTCACTTCACAATTCAGTTCGACACGAGCGGAGAGATCAGGCGCAGGACTCACGACTGTTTGTGTTTTCCGAGACCCTGGCCTGGTGAAACACTGCCAATTTTTTGACTTCGGACTGCTGCTAAGAATTTCTTGACAGAAAATTATAAAACGGATTTTAGCCGACCCGGGATTCGAACATGAACCATATTATGATTAGAAGTTGTGCTTACGACTACTTGAACAACGTACTATCTGATAAAACTTTTAGCATTAACATTATAAACTAAATTTCAAATATGATTGGATTTAACATGCCGTCCAACCGTTAGATAAATTAAAAACTATTCACAATCTTGTTACTCATCATATCTACCGTTACCAATTATAGCCTATCAAGTCACTGCTGAAGAGTTACCAATTACAGTCTATCAAAAGTCACTGCTGAGCAGTGGTAGCTCAGATGGTTTGCGCTCGCTGTAAATTTCACAATACGCGAGCAAACCGGGTTCGAACCCCACCGACACCAATGAAATTGTTAATTGCAATTTTAATTACTGATTTACCACGTACTCAGCGGTGAAGGAAAACATCGTGAGGAAACCTGCATGTCTGAGAAGTAAGAAAAATTATATTTCGAAGGCATGTGAAGTTCGCTAACACTCAATAGGGCAGCGCGGCGGACACTGCCTTGCCCTAAAACCCTCTCAGAAATGAGTGGAAGCCTGGGCCCAGCTGTGGGACGTACTTATATAGGCTGTAACATTGACTTTAACTTTAAAAGTCACTGCTGAACATAAGCCAATTATGGCTTGAAATTGATTGGGATTTACGCGTATACACTTTACAACAATAATTATAAAGATTCGTCAAATCCGTATTAAATACTATGGATGCAACAGTACTACTTAAAGATTGAATATGGTGTTGGCTAAGAAAATTCATCATCGCTCTGCCATACCGTAACGTAGGAGTCGATGAGGAACGTACCAAGATCATATTTTGGTTTTCAAATTATTTCGCAACCCATGTTAGGTATACTAAACCTTAAATGCACTGACCACGTATGTGATTTAAAAGGGGTCTAGTACTATAGTCAGTACACCTAGCAAACGTAGAATACGTAGTACTGATGGTTATGTGATCATATGCAGGCATGGATTCTATCCGATTGAATGCAAAATAGAAATAACGATGGAGATAACATTTTTAACTTCCCAGTGGGAAGTTATTGTAATGGGTCCGATTTAGCAAATTGGAAATTATTTGGATTTTATTTAACATATCTCCACGTTTCAAGATATTGAGAGTCGAATAATGTGGTTTTTAAGAGAATGTCTGTGTGTGCACATGTACGTATGTATGTATGTACGCTTAGGTACGTATGTTATACTATATTCAGGTTCAAATTTTAAGTGATATTGACATGGGACCAGTTTCATTTAACGCATAATTATACAAGTTAGACCCCATTAAATTTTGAGGAAAATCGGTCAAGTCGTTTTTTGTGCCGGATGAATATTTTTATAAAATATTAAAACATATGATATTTTTTTATTCTTTCCACTGGGAAAATAGTCGTGTGAAATTGTTGGGTCGCATATATGCCGCTTTTTTATTTCATCTATATATAGCCACAATTTTTCGAGATCTTAGACCTACGAAGCTGGAGCTGCTGTTTCGAATCCTAACTATTGAGCTAGGAGTAAACGCTTGTTGGTATATCCTCAAGTATTTGGTCTTCATTATGGAATTCTCTGTTTTGTTCTTTAGGACTACGTAAGATATTCAATGATTATATTAAGAAACTAAATAATTATTGCGAGAAACTAATAAAACGTTTTGCGACTCGACTTCGGAATTACACTAGAGGTTGACGTTTTTACGAATGGTTTAACTGGTATACTCACCTAAATTGATTTGTTGTGCGCACAAAAAATATTTTTTAGAATAAGATTGATAAACTAGCACACCGCCCATCTGATGGTAAGTTGATGCTATGCCCATAAATATCTACATCTACCATCAATTAAGAATCAAAATATGAATGCATTTTCACACCTAAGGACTAAGATGGATTGCCTCTTTACCATTAAAAAAAGATCTCCAGTTCTCTACGCTCACCATACTAAACAGCAGCATCATTCTGCTATTTCACACTATTATCTTGTTTCTCAAAGTTGGTTCCCGTCACCAGGTTGTGAGATTTAACTTCGGTTTTCTCGAATAGATATAATAACCAATATCGTTCGCCAAAGTTTGGTTCGTTCAATTTTAGAGTGCATCACATAATACTAGTAGATATTTTAAGTGTACTTATACTTGTACATACTTGGTAAAGCCACGCTGCAGCTATATTATGGTTGTGGCACGAATGGGTCGGCTCTATCGGGGAAAGACCACGCTCTCACAGAATACCAGCGTAAAATAGCACCTAAATACTGCTGTGTTTCGTATGGTGAGTGTAGAGATCCGGAGACCCTTTTTTACTGGAAACGAGGCATTCCATCTTAGTCCTCAGGCGTGACAACGCATCTGCGTTTTGATTCTTAATCGCGGTTAAATGTAGATATCTATGGGCCACAGCATCCACTTACCATCAGGTGGATTGTGTCCTCGTGTCACCCTTAATTCTACAAATACTAATACACCCAGAATGCTATAAAAAAGTCACTTACTTGTTAGAACTCTTATTAAATATAAACTAATTAAAAAAAATTACCATTTCAGAGTCGTCAAGAATATCGAGCTGCCTTCTTGAATTACTGCAACAACCAGAACACGGCGGCCCTGGCCGCGTACTACGACTCCCATAACAACTACGTGCAGCAGCTGACAGCGACCAACGCCATGATTGACCAATATCATAAGCATACTTTACCTACTATACTTCAGGCAAGTTTTAGCATGTTTTGTTTATAAAAATAAAAAAATATAACTACATAACATAGGTATTCCTAATATATCTACTTCATTAAGCTATAGCTGTGCACGTCGAAACACTGCATCTCTACCAATCTAGAGAGAATTTGCTGTAATCGCCAGGAAATGGAAAAGGATAGTAGGGAAAATAGTAGTACACTTCAGTGCTCTTAATAATTTGTCAATCACATATTATGTATTCACAGATACTCGTATAATGCTTCGTAAAAACGGCCGCGGTGCACCGTATGTTTTACGTCCACTCGTCAAAGTTGGTAGGCAATAGTATTGAAAAGAGGCAGGCTAGGTGGGGAGAAGAAGTATGCGAGCATACGTATGCATAATTTGCATAGGACTAAGTTTTTACTGTACACCCCGTCTCTATTTTATATAACGTACAGTCCGATTTTACTATTTCAAAAAGGATAATATTATCTAAGTACCTATGTGTACGCGTGTGATGACTATAAACCAATCGATTTCATTCGATGTTTGCATAAACACCTAATTAAGTGTTAATTCAAATACCATTTAGTCGTTTTTTGAAAAAATAAAAAACGGTAAAAGAATTTGCAAGAAGTCACCAAATGAGAAGTTGATAGTGCGAGCAGACTGCATCATTTCTATTTCCATTATTAGCAAATTATTTGATAAAATTAAAACCATTATTATTTAAAGGTAAGGAACCCATATCCAGCCGTGGAGTGGATTGGTAATTTATGAGGTATAAAATTCTTATTTTATAAAAATAAATTCTTTACATAAAATCTAATTAAAGTATGAATAGGACGGGCTCAATAAAAATAAAGTAGAAAGGTCCCTCCTCGCTAAAAGGTTTCATCGTCTTCATAATGTTTTTTTTGAATTTACAATACTAAGGCAACTGTTGTTTGATACAGTAAGCGGTAATTACATATTTGCATATTAAATAAAAACTTATTGTACTAGCTGCGTAGTACTTTAACAAATAAACCTTATTATAAACCAACATTTTATTACAGCATGACAGGTCCATTGCTGAACAAAGACGTCCCCAAAACAAGGCCACAAGGCATAGCCCTGAGCCACCTGCATTCATCGACTTCCTGCCTCCCTTACATAGTGGGGGGGCTATCCTACACTTCGCTTAACTTAAAAAGGCTGCCACTCGAGAACCCTTCTTCCTCAACCGTTATTGGTTCTTCCATATAATGGCTGATCCGTTGCTACTTCAGTGAGTCACAAACTACGCCGATACGATAATATTTTATCTGAGTTTAAAAACTTAATTATCTTAAAGTATCACATATTACGCAGATACGACAATTTACGAAATGATACATTCATTTGAACCCCTTCAAACATACTAGACGTGGTTTCTGGAGCGGATTGATTATACAGAATGTTACCTTTAATGAGTTGGCGTATATTGCTTCACGTATGCGTAAACTTTGATAAACGGATTACATTAGCATTTACTAAAAGGCGAAGAATTTAGATAGAACGTCGCATAAAGTTTAAAAAGGACCGAATTAAGACTGAAGAAAGGAATTCAATCTCATTTTTTCGGCGACCATCTGAGGTAAAATCATATGCAATATTTGATATCTGGATATATATTTGCATGAGCAGATAATATTGTCACTATCTTTAAATGTGTGTAGGTGTGAGATAGCGATGAAATATTAATTACCTGCGCTTTGTGTATTAGTTAATTGAATTTCATAAAGAGCGATATTGAAAGATATGCGCTCGGATACACATATCTTATCGTATCTGCATAGTGCTCCATTGGCTACGTCGGTTAATCTGGTTCTACTGCGGATGTTCTAATTACGAAGTCAATCACGCAGAAAATTTTTGAGCATAGCCCTCTCCATAGCTTGCTGTAAGATATAGAGTTTCCTCATATGGCCAGCAGTGAAAGACCACGTCTATCTGAAACATATGTTTTGAGAAATACACGACAGAAGATGTGTTGTAATATTCGAAATCTTGTTTATTTTATTCTAAAATGTAATGTCAATTTATTCAATAATACAACTTATACAGGTACAATACTTTATTTTCATTTTTATGCAGTATTTACGCATCCTCTAAAGATACAGTTAGTCCGTTCACCTTAGTGTTCAAGGGTGACACCCCATTTGAATCTAACTTCGGAATTCTCTATTAGTTGTTCTTTGGGCGAGAGGTTCAATTATTGAAAAACCACTTAAACCGTAGTTTTTTGTTATTATTTTGAAAACAATGTGCGATATGGGATCTATTAACTTCACATAAAAAAGATTTCATCACCTTATCCTTTAATACTCGTAGTTTCTTATTAAATGGTTTTGTACAATTACTTATAATTATTTACTTTAATAATATAAATAAAACAACAACCTACTTAATTTTAAAACTTATCTACACGTGTGGTGTGTATAATGTAAACCCGTCAATGTTGAGTTGAATACACCTATGTCCAAATTATTTTAATTAATAGTATCGACCACATCATTCTATTTATATTATTTTTGATACAAGAAATATCAAAATTTAGAATGAGTGTGTATGTACTCAAAATATTAGACATCATCCCACCAAGAGTTTTGAGGAGCTAATAGCAGATTTACATTATTTTCTTTAATGATTTCTTATATTTACGGGAACATTACACATTTTTTTTAAAAAATCTATTAATTAACATACTAATATTCCTTAACCACTCCTGGTAAGAAAAAAAAAACAATTTAAATAAAACTAGTTTTTACGGATTTTATCGCATACCCATGGTGACAGGGGGAGGGACTAAGGTGTTCGACATCCCAATGTCGTAATTAACCACGGCTACCTTCAAATTAAAATTATTTATTTTATTGTCAACCAAATCTAAGAAATACCTTTTGACGTTTCATATTAATCTTTCCGCAATAACTTTGCACAAGCGCACTCACACGATTTAAAATAACCTTTTACGTAAATGCGAAGAATTATGAAGTTATCTATATTTCATTACAACTAGTATAGTTTTTTATCACTTATTTAAATTTGAATTTTTTCAAACAAAGCAAAATATTAAAAAATAACCAGTATTAACTTTTTTTACTTGACGTCGTTTCAATGACATGTCGCTATGTATATTACCGTAGTGTTTGGATGATTAAAATTCATTGTTATGCGAATAATCGGAAAAATATTCAAATAATCGGTAAAAATATTCTAATAATCGAATCATTAACTTCTTTAATGTATTATTTGTTTTATTTAATTTTTATTTTCAAAATTCCTTAAATTACATGAATCATGAATAAAACAAGTTAATTTTTTTCACTTTGTCAAAGTAAATTTTTGTAGGAAAAAAACTCATATACAATAAGGCCGTGCTAAAATAACCACTACATAATTTCAATCTCCCGCCATTTCGGTACCAGTTACTCGACTCCATAGAATCAGTAATTCATTTTTGAGCCAATTTATACGCTTTTATAACAAAATGCCAGAAAATTAATTTGACGTAAGTACACAAAGTTCAAAAACTTTATTAAACTAAGTTTGTATAAAAAGGGTTATTATATATTAATAATTCTTATATATTTTATATTAAAGTTATTATAAACGCATGAATAGCTCTTTTTAAAATGGGTTCTTCCCAGGACAGAGGTTTTTTTCCAACCAGTTTTTGCTAACCAGTGGTAAATGAAAAAAGTGACTTTTAGTCAGTATTATTCATAATCTATATTGAATAAAAAAGTTTCTGTTTCGAGAGCTTACTGTGCGTAATTTTGTAATTTTGTGTTTGTCTTCTTATTTTGTGACTCGGCTTTAACTTTTTGGACTGTTTCTTCTATAATAACTTTTTGTAGGTGGTAGAGCCACGCTACATCTATATTATAGTTGTAGCACGAATGGGTCAGCTCAACCAGGGCATGACCACGCTCTCATAGAATACCAACGTAAAATAGCAGCGTAATGCTGATGTGTTTCATATGGTGAGTGTAAAGAACCGGAGACCCTTTTTACTGGAATCGAGGCATTCCATCTTAGTCCTCAGTGGTGACAACGCATTTGCATTTCGATTCTTTATTGAGGATAAATGTGTATGTCTATGGGCCATAGCATCCACTTACCATCAGGTGGACTGTGTGCTCGTTTGTTACCCAATGCTATAAAAAAATTCGTTGAAGCATGTGCCCATGTCATAAAGGATGACTGGGCAAAAGTGGTAGAAAAAAACAAAAAATGATTATGGATGACTTTGAAAGAGACATTAATTTTGACTGCATTATTGAAAATCAAATAATAATTAATACAAACAACGACATGTCTACTAGTTGTACAGAAAGTGATTGAATAAATTTATTTTTAATCTAGTTTCAATCTTAAATTTTTATAACTATGCCTGTAGAAATAAGCAGTAACAACAAATACGAAGAAACGGATAAATCTTGTGTTATAAATTGTCCGTTATTAATTTATTCTAGTATTATTCAAACCAAACCGTAAATGATTACCAACTCTAAATAATCAATATCGATTTTTTTAAAAATCGAATATTGTATGTTCCGATTTTTTTGGTTGGCATGCTTGGTGCAATAAGTCTGACAGATGTCAAAATGTATTTCTTAAATTTGGTAGACTATAATTAACGTAGATCGGAACAAAGGTTAATAATTTTAACTTGGAGGTAACCATGGTTAACTATGACATTGGGTCGTCGAACACCTCAGTTCCCCCCGTGACTATGGGTGCTGTAAAATGCTCGAAACGTCAGGAATATAAAATAAGTTAATATCTGTAAAGTGCTCGAAACGTCGGGAATATAAAATAAGTTTATTATACGCGATAAAATCTGTAAAAACTGGTTATATTTAAATGTTTTCTTTCTTTATGTTTTTCGAAATACGTAACACTCTATATAATAAGGATATAATATTTATTATATAGAGTATATTATAAAGATATACTCTTTATTATAAAGAGCCTTACTCAGAGCCTCGCAACCTCTTAACTGTCATATAAATCTAGAGATTAGAGCAACTAAGACAAGTTATATTCGTAAAAAAAAATATTCAAACACTTTTATAAATATTTATTTAATTTATAACCCGAACGGTTTCTTATGTGCAGTGCATTTTAGCCATTTTTGGCTATTCGGTTTGGCATCCCCACCCAAATACACGTTTTGATCTCAAGCGACGCCACTACGCTGTGTCATGAGAGAATCCATCGCTCATTTTTATGCCAAAGGTGTATTCAACGTATTTTTAACCAACGTCAAAAATGAGGAGGTTCTCAATTCGAGTGTATGTTCTTTTTTTGTGTGTAATGTTACGCGATGTCTTCGCAGATTGTGAACCAATATTGGTAATTATTTATTTATTAAATAAGATTTATGTACCTCAATTTTGGTCCCATTAAATTTTGAGGAAAAAAGAAAGATATCATAGCTTACAAAAGATAGAGCTAAACCAGCCCCGATGCTAGATGTAAGAAAAACTAACCTAGGATACCTGAAGCGTCAATAGGCGAGAGTTAGTGTATACAGTGGTATTTAGATCGCCAATCAGCCAACCGAGCATTAATACAGATCTTTATTTTAGTTAAAAAGAATAAGAATGTGATCTAAACATAGAACAGCATTCCAAGAGACAACAATCAAAAGTTTAAACTTATGTTTGATGATCTATTTACTATCGCACATAATCCACGATGTATTCAGAGACGGTTTAGGAAAGAAAGAAAGAAAAGAATCAATTAATCTGTGGACTTAATGCGGCCAATTTAGTATTGTTATATTTGGTATACGCCTTGACCAACAGTGGACTGTTACAGACTGTATCAAACACTCAAATGCCAACAATGTACAAACAAAATATTAAATACACAATAGTATGCCTAAGAATAATAAGTTATGTGCTAATTATTTGTTTTGACGATTACCTGTCCTTCGCAATTTTGCTTCAAACTTCAAATACATTTGGCATAATTTTTTTTTGAATAGATGAACAACAAGTTCAAGTACTTAATTGAACTCGAGCATTGCGCACTATTGTACATAAAAATATTCCTAATTCACACTTTTATAAATGCTTTTTTATAGGATAGGATGACAAACGAGCACACAGTCCACCTGACGGTAAGTGGTTGCTGTGGCCCATAGACATCCACATCTATCCTCGATTACGAATCAAAATTCAGATGCGTTGTCACCCGTGAGGACTAAGATGGAATGCCCCGTTTGTACTAAAAGGGTCTCCGGTTCTCAACACTCACCATACGAAACACAGCTACAATAAGCTACTATTTTACGCTGGTATTCTGTGAGAGCGTGGTCCTTCCCCGGTCGAGCCGACCCATTCGTGCTATTCACAATGAATAGGATTCAGACAGTTGTGTCTTCACATCGTATGCCGTAACTGTTAATTATACTTCACTATTAGTGATCTTTATATCTTATCGTACCCAAAGCTTTGTAGCAGCATCACCTTTAACTTATAGCTGTTTATTAGTATAATATTAAATACTTTCGACTTAATATATTCCTTAATCTTTTTCTTTATTTTTTTCAACCTTAGGAAGAGGAATGGAATTGTTTCATTAGATTTATCTATGACCAACTGAAGTTACAAGCCATTTATTCGGTTTAGCAATTTTCGAGATATCGGTTAATAAAATAAAAAGAAATGCTTATCTCGTCTTATAATAAATGCATTTTTAACCAACTGCAAAAATGGGGAGGAAAATTCTTAATTCGAGTGTATGTTCTTATTTATATGTGTGTTACGCGATATCTTCGCTGATTGTGAACCAATTTTAATAATTATTAATTTATTAAATAGGATCAACTTCAATTGTGTACCCGTCGACTTACTGTCTGGCATACTTTATGCTCGCTTACATCTATAAAAAGTCATCTATTTCTTGTATATCACGAAGTTTTAAGAGGTAAAGTTACCTAGTATACTATAGAACATCTAGGACGTTAATATAATCACTGACCCATTTCTCGCATAAATTTAACACAAAATGGTAAAGGCTTTCAGTATACGTGGTGAAAACCCTAATTTGACTAATTTTCGCAGACTAAAGATAACGCGAGAAAGCGTTAAATTACATTAGCATTTTTATCACGACCTAAATAGAAGCATGACATGAATAATAAAGATTTTAACGTACGTAAAATATTACGGCAATTCTCTTAAAAGTGTTTTCATTGCAGGAATTAGAGGAGATTCTGACTGATGTGACGACAGCTGTTAGTGAAGCGATATATCAAGGAGGAGAAATTATCACAGACAAGGTAACAAAACTTTACGTTATACCTGAACATCCGCAGTTCATCTTAATCTAATAATTTATGTTTGTTTGTTCGTAATTTATGCGCTACCATACCGTTCATCAGATTGCGTCAAAACTTAGTCAACTTATTGCTTGCACTTGGGCGAAGGTTATAAAAGTTACAGCCTATATACGTCCCACTGCTGGGCACAGGCCTCCCCTCATTTCTGAGAGGGTTTTAGGGTAAGGAAGTGTACGCTTGGCCCCAATGCGTGTTGGCGAACTTCACATGTCTTCGAAAGATTTTTTTGTTATTCCTCAAACATGCAGGTTTCCTCACGATGTTTTCCTTCACCACCGAGCTCGTGGTAAATCAGCACTTAAAATTGAAATTCACAATTTTATTGGTGCCGGCGGGGATCGAACCCGGGTTACTCGCGTTCTGTTATATTTACAGCGAGCGTTAACCATTTGAACTACCACGGCTCTTAATTTTTTATCATTACTTATTAAACAATATAACTTTTCGATATTTAAAATGATTTTCCGCAATCATTTCTTCTGCGGCTGAAGCGCGTCGGGTACCAGCTAGCTTACTATACATATTTTCTAAATAATTAAGGGAATTTACAGGTCGACACAAGCTAAGTAATCATTATTGAAAAGCAGCAAAATGTTCATCATAATCATGATTTCAGTCTATTACAAGCCAGCGCTAAACTTGCCTCCTCGTAGCATAAAGTACGAACCTAAGTCACGTGCATACATCGACTCCTTGCATGTTTCATAAGGTCAGCGCCCCGTCTAATGGGAGCGACTCAGTGAATGCAAATTTGCCTTCACTGGAGCGAATATATTTTAGTAAATTTTTTATCGTTGGTTCGTAAATAATATTAGTAAAATTATATTTCTGGTTCTAACTTCATATGAAAACATTTAGTTTATTGGTAAATTGACACTAACTTCATATGTTACATTAAAAGCGTGAAAACCCAAAATTCCAACACTTAATTATTTATAATAATACGTTGACTTGTTCCAGAATAACTATTCTCAGGCTAATTTGACTCCGTGTGTTAAGGCATATTATTTATAAACGATAATATAAGCATCCGTAATCCTTGTGAATGCGGAATTCAGGTCAAAACTAAAACTGCTCAGGGCAAGAAAAACCTCAACCACGTAATTTTTGCAAAATCAAAGGACTTCTTTCGAGAGAGAGCGAAGCCGGCCTTGCTCTTTTTGACCAAGACGCAGGTGTCCTCTTAGGCTGATACTTAGTAAAATAATCGTTTGTCCATCACATGGCTGCGTGTAGGCAGTGACATGACCATCAGCAATGCTTGTAAATGCGTATTTTAAATATAATTTTGGCAGCATATTATTTCAGCATATAAACGCTTTATATCTGTATAAGTAGTACGCCCGAAGAATGCCACAAGCAAGGTCGTGAGCCACCTAAGGCTAAGTAAAGGCTGTAATTATGATGATATTACTAGGAAGATTTAAAATTTGTATTCTTTATTCGTTGTGCCCTAAAAGAAGATATAAAAGTAAAAATACTGAGGGAAAGTGGTTTGCTAGAAGTTTTTGTATTTTTAACATTTTAATAACATGCTAAAATTTATATCAGCTTAACCGTAAGAAGCTAATATTAAGTATTTTATGTTTTTTAACAGTGCAATAATCAGCTCCGCCGCTACGAGTCCCTTTGCGCCCAATCGCGTGCCGTGTCGAGCACCGCGGACCTGGCGCACCTCGCTCGCACGCTGCTCAACACGCAGCCTCCAATGAGAACGCCAAAACGCGCCTTCATGCCGCCGTACCCGCCTGAACCTGACGACCCTCCGCTGGATGTGGCCGCGGTGAGTCATCGCCAACGATCGAATTGCTTGCTGTTTAGAAGTAACTGGCTAGTCATTCCTGGGTCCTGAGTTGGAATCCCAGACCCGACTTTAAAACTTTATTTGTGTTTTTTTAATAATATCAAGCACACAAGCTAACAATCTAAATAGTGAAAAAATGATGAGAGGCTATCGCGTAAATCACTGGTTTAAAAGTTTTTTTTTTTTTTAATTAAACACAGATGCGTTTTACCCTTGAAAACAAAGATGAAATGCCTTACATTCTGTAATTTTATTGGCTCTCTTATTCTGCAATTTGAACACAGCAGTGGTTTCAATGCTGCTTAAAAGCAGAAACAGAAGCAGAAACGTGTAAAAGGAAAGGAACTCCTGGATAGAAAAGGTGCTCTATACAAGTGCAACATAGAAGCATCAGTGCTGGTTTTCGAGTCTGTTTGTGTTGTGCTTGCCTTCTATCTTTGATGTTTAATTCCAGCATACTTTGGGTTGTACATATAAGTGTTACATTTTATACAAATAGGTAATGTTAAGAGAGAACCTTTAACGTGTTGACGCCACGCTACAGCGTAAGAAGGCTGCAGCAAGAAAATGTCGGTTTGCTCGGGGTACTTTTTACACTCACACAGAATAACATTGTAAAATACATACATACGAATGCTGCTGTGGCTATACGTATGTATGTATTTTACCATGTTTTTATATGCGTGCTGAGTGACGGGAACTCGAGACCCTTGTTCCTGGTTATTAACCAACAATAAGTTTTAAGTATATTATTATCATACTAGCTGTTCTCCGTGACTTTACGAATTTAGAAATGGCTGCACCGATTTTGACGGTAATTTCACTGACAGATAGTTGATGTTATAAGGAGTAACTTAGGTAAATCAAAATCCAAGAAATCTAATCGAAAACAATTTCAGGAGAACGAAGTCGCAGGAAACAGCTAGTAAAAAAGAAAATATAACGCTTTCTACAGTTAAAATCTAGTTTGGTTACCTTTGAAGTTAAAAGAACACAAATATCACAATTTTCTCCATGAAATATTTTCATTTTCACATAAAGCGAAACTATTCCATTGCAAAATAGTTGTTCCGAACAGTAACTTCCAACGATTTCGATGCAACGGATCAACGAATTGTAAATATTCAGTCGATTGTGAATCATATCGTACTTTGATCACTCTTGTTTATCCTAATAAAACGAAACACTTCACAAAGTACTTATTAGTAGTTTCAGTTAAAATATTTTATGAACAAATAATCAACTCATAAATGGGTTAAATTAATTAATTAAAGAATTAACGAAAACAGTATCTGGTACAGAAGTAATGGCATTGCAAAAATAGTGACCCTTTCAAAAATTATGCGTATAAAATATCTAGAGCGACGGCAAAAAGTAGTGTCTATATATAATAATAATAATTCGTAAGTTCTGTTCACAATAATAGCAAATATAAAAATAGAGTACTATATCTACTAGGCTGTTGATTTTTTTATGGGATAAGGATGACAAACGACCGCACCGTTCACCTGATGGTAAGTGGATGCAGTGGTCCATAGAAAAAATGAAAACGAAAATGAAAAATCTTTATTCAGTATCTTTTACATAGTAACATGACTAATGGCCGGAATCTCCTTTTAAGTATGATACATGTGTTAGGAGACTCCGCTCCTTCCCAAGATTACAAAAGATACACTGTGTTATAGTAAGTATTACCTACAGCAAGATAATATCAACAATTAGGATTAAACGGTGTCAAAAGAGAAGCATTATGGTTAATACTTAAGTTAGCACTTAACTATTAACCATAATGCTTCTCTTTTATAGAGATATAAAGTATCAATACTTATCAACACCCGCCGGTTCGATTTACAGTGAACGGCTTTTTTCAGAGGCGGGCTTAGTATGAGTATACATACGAGTAAAAGAAGCAAACTAGAAACAAATAGAGCCGAATAACTAGTGTTTTTGCAACACAATCTTCCTCTCTTAAATTTTAAATATTAGTCATAATAATGTCTAGTATAGATTCTTATATACGTTCTCAATATTTCTGCTGTTTCTCATTTTCCTGATGTTTTTTGGCCTATTGTCTTTATTTTTCTCTGGAATATAATTAAGGCCGAGTACTCGGTACTTGGCCGTTAATACTCGGTGTTCGGCCGAGCCCTAAAAAAAGGCCGAATTTGTTAACGGCGTGAAGATTGTCTTCGCCCATATAAGACAATTTTACTTATTCACGAAGCCATTTAACCAAAAATAAGTTTCATCACTAAACACAATACAAAATGCGACGTAAACGATGGTCGTTTGCCTTTAATTATTGCACGAACTGTATTTTAAAGGCACGTAAGCCAAGATCCTTACGTAAAATTTACACGTAGTCTTAGGACAAAGGCCAACAAATTGAGAATGGCGACGAACGGCGATTTCAATATATTTCAATATACGTTTTTGATCATAAAATAATTACATGACTCGAGTTATGTACTAAAAATACCACGAGCAAATATAAATGAATATTACTTTTTCATTTGCCTTTTCTTACATGTTTACCCCTTTTTAGGAGACTATGCCTCCAGTTCTGCGTGGGGAGATGCTACTGGACCGCATGGATATACGAGAGGCGCGTCTCAATTATGAACAGCTAAGAAAAGATGCACAGGATCTCGAGATGCAAATTAAGCAATTACAGGTTGGTGAAGATTTTATTATTTTCGCTTTTTATGTTTCCCTCATTTCGTCATTTTTTCACCCTTTTATTCTATATTTAAATATATCGCCTAAATCATAATGATTAATTTAAAAATATTATAATAGTTAAGAAATGAGATAAATTGTCAGTTAATAGATACTATTTGGAAAGAATAGAAGAATGGTTATAATTATTAAATGTGTAAATATATATATATATATATATATATATATATATATATATATATATATATATATATATATATATATATATATATATAATATAACATTAAAATACTATTTTAAAATATTTAAATTTTTTGGACAAAAAAAAATAAGTTTATCAACATGTAGTCAATAATTTGAAATTAACATTTATAATTCTTTACTTGTTTACCAGTTACTGCTTATCTACAATCCAACCCACTTGAGGGTAAGTGTTGATGAAGGCCTTAGCGTTTGCCTTAACGTTACAAAAGCCTACTCACTCAATTGTACTCTATTCTGTTTCACTATTGAACACATCCATTGTTGTACGTATTTACGATACGACTTAGAATCCTTCAAGCAAAGAGCTTACTCTTTTTTAATACACCGTCAACGCATATGCAATTTCCCTGGTGTTGCTGTTCATTAGTTAAGCCGCATACTCGTTTGCGCCCTCTTATATAAAATAAAACACGAAGCAAACCATTTCTTTTTTGAATGATTGGAATATCAACAACAAAGGGGTGGAGAACCCCCAAACGTCTATCCGCCTGCTTAACCTATGGTGTAAAGGGAGGGAGGAATTAAGGCATGTAATTCTTGCACACATGATCTTTAACCGAGTTCAGAGGGTTCTATATTCGAGGCTTATGTTTTTTGATGTATGTTCACCAATTTCTCCCAAACAGGTGAACCGATATTAATTATTCTTCTTTTATTCAATTGAGTACTACTCCAGGGATAAAGGATGAACTTTTAATGTAGCTGTTTAGACGACATGCTAGTTAATAAACTTGTGATATTCCCAACTTCACTCAAAAGAGTAAAATAAATTAAACTTTAAACAAGACAAATTTTAATATACCACGTTTTTTATATTTAAACATTGTCATCTGATACAGAGCCACTCGTATGTTAAAAATTTCAAATCTGTGTTATTTCGAACCGAACCGACATATACGAATGCGAGTTAATAAAACCGTGGTTTAGAAATATGGTTAAATATAAAATAGGTACATTTCACATAATAGCTTCTCCATTCAGGACTTTATTTCTTCAGTACGACATGTATTGTTTATTACACGGACTTCAAAAGCTATTATGAGGTAATTATTTTATCGAAGTGAAAACTTCTTTCACGTTGGTCACTTTTGGGGTAGGGAAAAGCATTGAACTCACGTGACCGCCACGCTCACATATATAAAATTGGTGAAAGTATTGTATTATAATATTATAAGTATTGTATATATGTATTTATAAATTTGTTTGTATTATATTGATTCATGTGAAACATCATTCTTTTTCATGTGAAACAGTGCAATAAAATAAAATTTATTACTATATTAATACGTTGATAAAAATAATTTCTAATAAAAAATACTTCCTAAAAATAATTTCTTAACAACCAAAACTAATTAACAAGTTTGTGAACCTATGAATTTTTCACTTCTGATGTGCAGTCCTACAACATTTTTGTTTTATTATATTCAGTATGATATTAACTTACTTGAGTATTAGTTAAACATATAAGCAACGAACAATTATAGTTCGTAGAAAATAAAAATAATAGTCATGAAAATAAGAAATGAAGTTACAAAACAGCACTATCCAAGAACTGTAAATACAGGCCTTCAGGCATTCCATTTTCAACCGATTTCAAGAAAAAAGGGAGGAGGTTCTCAAATCGACTTTAAACTGATTTTTATGAATCTTGATACTGATTTTTATTTCAAAACAGGTGCTTTTCATATGGTCCCATATAAATTTGGTCAAGATCTGAACGGTGGTTTTTGAGTTATCCTAAGTAATGCCTATTTAATTGACTTCGCCTACATTATGTTCTCATTTTATTTATATTAAAGTCGGTTGTAGAAAATTTATAATTTTATCACTTATAGTTCTTAGAGGTGTCTATGAATTGCATCTGTGTAGCTAACATAATATTTTTATTTTATAGGACAGCTTGGATTCTCTATCTCGCAGTCAAAGCCGAAACCTGGAGAGCAATCTTTACAGCAAAGTCAACGAGATACAGGTAATTTATGTCGCGACTTTTTTAAGAGTTTGAAGTGTCACAATAATTTATATAAACCATAAGTAAATCAAGAAAATTGCACCCAAATTAATATATTAAAATATAGGTTATTTGTAATTTTTGCATTATTTGTAATGCATTTGGAATGGATACAAATTTTTATGCATATAGCCCTCAACTCCTTATTTTCAAAAATAATGATATCCATAATAAATTGCCAGCTCATAGATACCTACCTGCAGGACCACCAACTATTTACCGACCGCCAATACGTGTTTCGGTCGGGATCACTCAGGCTTAGCCTTGATCTTTTAGTTTACTTGACCCATAGATGGGTAGAAGCAGTAAGTTAACATATATTGTAACAGTAAGAGTTACATAATGGGGAGGTTTCGGTGGTTAGTTAAGACATAATAAAGACCTTCAATCGAGTTCAAAAGGCTTCTATCGAAATTTCCTGCCAAAATTATGCAAATGGATCACCAATTTCATTGCATTTCGAATCATTAAATTTGTAAAGAACGTTGCATGCAATTATGCTGGAGTTCCACGAGGCCGCATGCTATCGCTAACCCAGTTTCACCTGCATATTAATGATGTGATGCAAACGAGTAGGTATCATATTTTTATGCAGATGAAAACATTGGTGTTGCTTTTTTCACCATATTTCTCGGATACACATCTTCGAGTGCCGGAACAAACTTGTGTCTGAAGTCCAGATTTTGTTAAAATTTGTGTCACATCAGGAGCGAAGTCTAGTACAGTTTCACGCTCAGAAGTTCAGATAGCTTTGCGCGTTTACCATAAAAAGGGAACTTCCATTCTTACTACCCAGCGAAGAACGGCCGGCATAATTGACAACCGAGTTCTTTCTGATAGGCTCGATTCTTGATCATTGCGTTTTCCAGTAGTAAAATGTTGCATCTCCTTGTATTTTTATCGTAATTACTACATTGAGTGTTTATGTTCCACTATCGCACATCGCGACAATATTCTCTATACCATCCACATCCGGATACATGGCAGTCCACCACTGTACGATTTTATTTTCTTATTCTGTGAAGTTTATTCCTTACACGGCTACTTTTTGCAATCAGCTATCACCAACGATATTTCGGCCCAATACGTCTTAGGGATCTTCAAAAAAAGAGCCTTATTCTTTTTAAAAGTCTGACAACGCACGTGCAATCCTCTGGTGTTCCCGTTGTTTATGGGTGGTGGTAGACACATACCATCAGGTGAGCCGTATTCTCGTTTGCCTTCTCGTATATATAAAAAACTAGTTTTCTCACCAGGATCATCTCAGCTCATGGTTTTTGCGTACTGTACAATTTTTTTTCAAATCTGATATTTTTGCTTCCCGGCGCTTGGTACTTAGCAAATCAGAAAAAAAATCTTACGGGCGGAAATTAATGCTTTTTGAGTAAAGCAAGTCCCCTAATAGCAATTTCCGCAAAGGAACATTTCTCAGACTAGGCAAGAATATTTATATCTAAGAACGCAGAAAATGAAAATTTGGCTCATTACCCGCTTTTAACATAATTACGATGCTAAAAGAGGCTTACATTATAAATCCGAATTTCTATATTAAAAAAGATTAGATTTTTCTTACGATCCGTTTTTAGTAGAGCTATAATAAAACTTAATAGGTCGACTCAATCAGGGTCTCACAGAATATCGGCATGTATTTAATGCAGATATTTCACGCAGAATATTTCTGCGTTTCGTATAGTAGTAAACCGGAGACCATTTTTACTGGAAATCAGGTATTCCATCTTCGTTTTGGGGGGGATATCTGCATTTTAATTCTTAATTGAGGATAGATATGGCCCACAGTATCCATTTACCATCAGGTGGACTGTGAGCTCATTTGTCTCTCCTATTTTATAAAAAAAAATCTAAAAAAAATAACATTAAGCCAAGCATCAGTCGATATACAAGGTAAATATGTATATGGATCGAAATTGGATTTTTTCTAGAATAAGAGTGTATACGTCCACCTGATCGTAAATGAATACTGTGGGCTATAGACATCTACATTAATATTCAATTAAGAATCAAAATGCAAATTCGTTGTTAACCCTGAGGAATAAGATGGAATGCCTCGCTACTAGTAAAAAGGGTCTCCAGACCTTTACACTCACCGCATGAAACACAGCAGTATTAAGCTGCTATTTTACGCTGGTATTCTGTGAGAGCGTGGTTCTTCTGCGGTCGAAACGACCCATTCGTGTTAAAACCATAATATATTCGCAGCGTCGCTCTATCATGTAAATCTTTAACATATAAAAAAGTTAAAAATTTTAATTAAGCAATATTAAATAAAATTATTCTATTTTTTATATTATATTCTAATTGTGTTAACTATTTCATTATAATCTCATTTGGCCGTCTGTAATATAGGTAGGTGTAATTATGAATAAGATATTTTCATAAACGTATTTAATTTTGAAATAAAAATATAAAACAACAGTGAAGCACAACATCATTAAAAAGTTACGCTACACGTAACACTAAATTAATCATATTACCCTTATTAAGCCTTAATGCTCATATCTTCGTATATCAATTTCGAAGAAAATATAATTAAAACGAAATTTTTAAAGATACATTCTCTACAAATACTTGTTAAAAGTTACAAAATATACAAGCCAGAAAATTTAGGCTGTCATCCTTCTTTGAAATGGGGTATCGTAACCACCAAAAAGTTTGCCATCTTATCTAGGGATGGGCTGAAAACGATAACTTTTTCAATTTGAGTGTGTATTTTCATACTTTATTGTAAGTACATATGTTAAAAGATAACATCGTCAATCATTAACCAATTAAAATGGTTATCTTTTTATTATATAGCTTATATTTCAGGGTTAAGTAAACTAAAGTTACAGCCTATATACGTCCCACTTCTGGGCAGAGGCCTCCTCTAATTGAGAAGAGAGTTATGGTTGGGTTGCTTCAGGCGTGTTCACATATAAATTTATAGAAAAAAATTCACCTCTACGGGTTGGAAAATGGATCAAGAAGTTTTTAATACATGTGCTTAGATACCATTCGAGTTGTTCTCAAGCTTTTGAAATTCCCTAGTTCACTCAAAATGGTCAAAACATTCAACTTAATAAGTAAAAACTGACTTCGAACAACAAAAAATAATGAAATCATTTAACATAAAAGCTTCAGAAGAGCTTTCATTTTTCTAATTTTCTTCACATTATATCTTAGCACAATTATTTTATTCTTTTTAGTTCTTCAATGTCGCTTCTACTTTTAAGCCGATTTCAAAAAAAGGAGGAGTTTCTCAATTCGACTGTATTTTTATGCGTGTTAGGTTAGGTACCTCAGAACTTTCTTTTTTCTAGGTAAACCGGTGATTTTTTATTACACTTTTTTATTTGAAGGTTAGTGCTTTTCATGTGGTTCCATATAAATTTGATCAAAATCCGAATAGTAGTTTTTAAGTTGTCCTTGCATAATTAATTGATTTCGACTACATTAATTATTGTTGTACCAATTTTTTAATTCTACCACATGTTAATAGCTAAACTTATATAAAGTAAGGCAAGTAAGGTATTCCACAAAACCTTTTAAGCTTATAATCTAACCAAGCGAATACGAGCGAACGCAATGCGAAATTGTTTTCTCTTAAGCCACCAGCACACAGTATTTCTTTCTAATATTAGGTATTAAAAAATCATTTAGTTACTTAATTAAAAATGTTAAACGACTTGTTAACTACGATCCGCGTAATGAAATAAAATAACGTGTCTTAACTAATTTGAAGAATTTAATGACTTTACTTATGTTTTTAAAAAAATGTCTTAGTACTGATTTATGCCAGGACAAAAAGATCCGGGTTTATTGCAGTATTAACATTAATACCAGGATCAAAATGTGTGCTTATTACAAAACCAAGACTATCCGAGAACCCGTTGGATATGTACCAAAGTTTGTAGGTATTAGACAAATTAAATAAAGTACGTAGTACTGAAATTGATGTTAGACCTTATATAAACTAGGGTTCTTGGAAGTTTTAAGTACACACACACACAGTTAAGCAATATGTGAATTACAGATAATTCGTATAGTGTAACGTTTTATTTAGCCTTGTATCAATCATATTACTATATTTAGTCCATGTTTTGGAATAAGGCCAATATAGACTATGTTACAAACCTAGTTTTATTAAAACTTATGAGTTATCCCTCCTCATAACAAAATTAACAGTACACAAGGCAAACAACAAAATATTAAATGCCTCAAGCGACATCTATATTTTAAACTTAATGAAGCTTATAACTAACCTAGGGACATCTATCGTATTGAAAATTAAAACAGATGTTCCGTTTAGCATAATTTTGTGACTCATTTTTTGTTAGATGTCTCTTATATAAATAGCTTAGTTTCTTTTACTAGTACTTCACTAGAATTTTTTACGTATTTTGTTGAAGTTTTACACACTCATCTAAGCCAATTTTTTATAGGATAAGGGTCACAAACGAGCACACAGTCCACCTGATGGTAAGTGAATGCTGTGGCTCATAGACATCTATCCTCGATTAAGAATCAACACGCAGATGATCTCTCACAGAATATCACCGTAAAACAGCAGCTTAATACTGTTGTGTTTCGTATGGTGAGTGTAGAGAACTGGAGACTCTTTTTACTGGAAACGAGGCATTCCATCTTAGTCCTCACGGGTGACAACGCATCTGCATTTTGATTCGTAATCGAGGATTTACCATCTTACCATCAGGTGGACTGTGTGCTTGTTTGTCACACTATCCTAAAAAAATAAGATGCGTAGTCACCCCTGAGGACAAAGATGGAATGCCAGCCTCCCTACTAATAAAAAGGGTCTCCGGATCTCTACACCCACCATAGGAAACACAGCAGTAGTAAACTCCTATTTTACGCTGGTATTCTGTGAGAGCGTGGTCCTTCCCCGGTCGAGCCGACCTATTCGTGCTACAACCATAGTATGGCTGTAACGTGACTCTACCAAGTAAAAATTTTTCTTAAATTTATTCTGTGACAAAAGAATCTGAATAAAATTGTCAAAACCATTAATATATTATGCACATCTTTCATCAATCATAACAGCCTATTAAAGTTCACTGCTAAACATAGGCCTCCACCTATGTTAAGTAGTTATATATATATATATATATATATATATATATATATATATATATATATCATCATCATCATTACAACCCTTCTCAAGTCCACTGCTGAACACAGGCCTCCCCCCCAGTAATGCCACAAAGCACGGTCCTGAGCCACCTGCATCCATCGACTTCCTGCATGCCTTACCAGGTCGTCACTCCATCTAGTGGGGGGTCGCCCTACACTACGCCTACCGGTACGAGGCTGCCACTCGAGAACCTTTCTTCCCCATCGGTTATCGGTTCTTCGAGCTATATGGCCAGCCCATTGCCACTTCAGCTTACTAATCCGTTGGGCTATGTCGGCCACTCTGGTTTTACTGCGGATATCCTCATTTCTGAGTCTATCACACAGAGTAACTCCGATCATAGCCCTCCCATAGCTCGCTGAGTGACCTTGAGCGTCCTCATACGGCCAGCAGTGAAGGACCACGTCTCAGGTCCGTAAGTCATCACTGGCAACACGCACTGGTTGTACACTTTAGTTTTCAGAGATTGAGGTATACCTGACGAGAAGATGTAATATATGTTAATAGATAGAAAGTAAGAATAAATATTTGGCATAGTTGCCAAGCTTGGCAAGCGGGTTGGCAACCGCAGTTTTTTATTCGGCTAATATCACTAAGATTTTACTAGGCATTAGGACTCCTTTTTTGTCTTGGTGTTCATCTGGGCAGGTGCCTATTTCGGTTAAATAGCTGTGTTCCGGTTTAGCGGATATAGAGAGTCGGTATAATTACGGGCCCTGAGGTATTCCATCTAAGTCCTCAGAGGTAACTACACATCTGTAGCCTTTGTTGTTGTAAGTTGTCTGCAGGTGTCCATGCCCTGCAGTAGCCATTTCCATCAGTTCTTTTTTAATAGCATAAGTTGGTTTAATACTCAAAGGATAAGGGTGACAAACGAGCACACAGTGCACGGAGCTGAAAACACGAAAAAACCTGGCACCAAAAAGAACCACACACCCTGATGGTAAGCGGTTGCTGTGGCCCATACACATCTACATCTATCCTCGATTACAAATCAAAATTCAGTTGCGTTGTCACCCGTGAGGACTAAGATGTAATGCCTCGTTTCCAGTAAAAAGGGTCTTCGGTTCTCTACACTCACCATAAGAAACACAGCATCGATGAGCTGCTATTTTACCGCCGGTATTCTGTGAGAGCGTGGTCCTTCGCCGGTCGAGCCGCTCGTGCTACAACTATCCTACTAATATAGCAACAGCATAGCTCTACCACGAGAAAAACTGGACTGAAAACAGAAAAAACTGGAAAAATATGGGATAAGTTCATTTGTAACTTCTATTTTATTCAAAATGAAAATTCTGCTGCCCATCTCCTGGGTCAGCTTCCATCTGTATCCTCTTACGACACTTACGTAGACAAACATGCAAATACAAACGATATAGTATTATTATGAAGAATGATGTTACGTCAGTCGTATAAAGTCATTAAGTCCAACAACTAATCACTTTTATATCATTTTAGGAGGAACTGTCACTCAAGAAATACGACTACAGAGCTACACAATTGCACCTAGCCGCAGTCAGAGCTCAGGTAAGTCGATTTATAAGTATCCTGTTCAGTTATGAAATTATGTTCTATTATGCAAATTTTGTACACCTAGCTTTTATAAAATTTTATAATTTTCAGGCAATATCTTCTTTATCGATTTAAATATTTTTAAATCTGCAAGATATTAAAACGTAAAATATGTGTGTATATATGTAAGTCTGTTAACTTAACAGTAAACTTATATTTATAGACTACTTTTCTACAAAGAAGTTTAGCATTATAGAATCTATACAACATTTTCTATTCTATAGTTTAAACAAAAGGCAGTTATTCAATGGAAATACTTTATTGTATTTTGATAACTACATCCAAGCGAATGTCGGTAGCGTGAAAATTACTATTATTTCTATATATTACTCGAAATTATAATTACGTAAAAAGATAAGTTATATTTACATAACAACTTTCATAACAATAAAATACTGTTCTTAACTTAGAAAAATCAACGCACCAATGTACAACAATGAACACTCGAAAATTTGACGGAATATGGCCGGGGCCTCATGAGACCGCTAGGGGATTGAGCGGTTAAATGTAATTTGCATGCAACATGCAGCCAATTCCAGGATCCAATCCATAAAATCTAAAATTGACTACAAATGTTAGATACGATTTAGTCAATTGGCTGTAAATTATTTTAAACGTTATTTAATGCATATCCACATAGGTTTTACAATGCATATTAATTTTGTAATACCCTTTAATTTCTACAGATCAACTTAATTGAATTATAGTAAGGTCTAAAAAAAATTTCTTACAACACTCTATACCTCAGGGTAGCATGCTGGGCTTTTTGCTGTTTTTAATATATGTGAATGACCTTCCGAATATATGTAATATCCCCTGTGTTCTTTTTGCTGATGATATTTCATTAATTCTTCCCTGTCCCAAGAGCACAGATTTACACCATCTCCTAACCTCTAATTTAAATGTAATAAATTGCTGGCTCCAAGATCACAACCTCGAGATTAATTTCAAAAAGACTAAACTTTTGCAAATTTAGACCATACCAAAAACGCCCCTTACTTATCAACTACCAATTACCTAAATATTCCCTTAGAATCTGTTAACTCTCACTGTCTCCTGGGTATAAATATTAATGCACATTTAAATTGGAAGGAACACATTAATAAAATTGTCAAAAAATTATCTAGTTTTACATACGCTCTTATAGAACTTTAAAAAACCACCGACTTAAAAACAGCAACCTGTGCCTATTATTCTATTACGCGTACGCAGACGCCTGGAGACGCTACGGTGTGGTACTTTGGGGTAACAGCACAGACGCTAATAAAGTATTTCTAATTCAGAAAAAATGTATTCGCATACTTGCAAATATCGACTCCATAACAAGTTGTAGAAATTACTTTATCAATTATAATATCCTGACATTAACATCCCTATATATATCCGAAAAATGCTCACTAGTTAGAAATAATATCGACCGGTTCCCTCAATATTTTCGCCCTAAAAATTTAAGACAAAAAATAAAGTTATCCACAGTTACATCAAAATTACAAATCGTAAACACCGGTCCCTATGCCATGTCAATAAAAATATGTTATAACATTCCAGAACGAATCAGAAGCATTAAAATTTTTAGAAAGGAAGTTAATACATATTTAACGAAAAAATGTTATTACTCGTTACAGGAGTTTTTTAGTGATTGAGTAGGAAATAGGAAATTGAAACAAATAAATAATATAATATGATCCAATTTATTTTTAAGTTAATTGTAAATATTCATTAAATGATAATTTTATAATACTATAATGTGAATGTAATAATAATTTAATAAATAATTGCCTATATTTGCAGTGCCCTTGCAGGGTTCTTGTTTTGAACATTTTTTCAAATATAAGACCAAATGTACAACAAGAATAGCAAATAAATTGAATTGAATTGAATTATTAAACAAACTTCCAGCATTTCCGAAAAACAGGCCGACCAAGTTCGTAAGCGTGACTGCTGACCATGTTTTAGGCCCCCTCTCTTAAATCCGTTCATTTTTATAATGGACTTCAACAGATCATGTTTTTACTAATTTTAAATAGTAAAATACCTTAAAATATCTTAGCTACTTTGTTTTTAATACAAGTCAGATATGGGTTCTTCCTTACACTAATGAGCATAGCATACTGTTCACATAACGGTAAAATTCTCGGCGGAAATAACTGTTGTATTATATTCTTCTGCCTCGAAACATGCTCAGTAGTAGATCTTTGCCCAGCAGTGAGACGTATGTTCATTTACTTATATTACTTTTATTAAGGTTATTAAGCAATTCTTATTAATTAAACTATCGTTCATATTTTATACAAACCAAACGGTATTTGTAGAAAAAGTACCGTGATTAATGATAGCAAAATTTACCCAATTTTAAGTACATATTAATTTTAAATGATGAGTTCACAGAAATTGAAGTCTGAGCTGAGCCGTGAATTGAACAGATTTAATTGTGAAAAAATCACAAATGAAACACAAACATCACTAGTAATCATCATCATCATCATCATCTTCATCATCATTATTACTGCCTATCAAAAGTCCGCTGCTGAAAATTTTCCACAGTTGCCACGTTTCACGTTTCACGTTTCACGTTTCACATGCACGTTCTTTTTCTTTCGAGTTTTTATAAGAAAGATGCCATCTCCATGCCATCTTTAATATTTACCTCTGTCGTCTTTTACGACATCCACTGGATAATATGGTGTAGCAGATATTCTTACGCTACCACTACATCGCTAATCTTTAAGTAACGTTACAAAACTCTAAAAAATTCCAAACATCCAGCAATGAACTTTAGATAAGCTATAATGAATCCATCAGTCATAAACGGCGTAACGTAGAACTCTCAGAAATGTATACTTTTATAAATAAATTTTAACCGTTGTAAAGTAATAAGGAAATGCGCCAACGATTAATATTTTATTTATTTTAATTTACGTTCTATAAATTTATGATTTATTTATCCAAATAACATAAACATATATTTTTGACGCTTTAAACCGCATGCAACATTTTTTGTATGTAACATATTACTAAATCCGGTGCTAGCAGCGCCATCTATTTATACATTTATTTTAAAAGCATTTTTGCTTGGGATTCTATAAAATGCATATGAAATAGAAACTATACTGTTTTAAAAGGACGATCGGACACAACTAACACAAATGGAGAAAACAATAAACAGATAACTGTTGAAAATCATCACAAAATATACAATACATCATTTTAGGTAGTCTCCGCTACACCAATGTCCAAATGGACATTGGTCGATTTTATATATCTTCAAAATATTTTTTAATTAAAACTAATTATACTAACTGGATGTCTAGTATCAGCCTGATGAACTCGCCGTACATGAGCTTAACGCAGTTACAGCTCAAGTGCTACGAAGGCCCGCATTTTTTAACCGGAAAGAGAAAGAGGCAATGTTGGTATCTTGCACTTGTTACCAATTCTGCACAATTTCTTGAGTTGTGTACAGTCAAGTACTGGGTGTGTGAGTATGTTTCTTACATGGTACCTTACATAAGGGCAAAGACAACCGCAGTTGTTGTCGTGGTATTGTCTTTCTTAGCATCGTAATCAAGCTTTTTTAAGACTGAATATTGATTACACACCATAAGCTTGCTGAGCGTGTATATAATGATACACTGTGTCACACACAATGCAAGAAATCATCGGGAACAAAATAACCCTTAATATGTATTTGTAGATCCAAACAAGGCTTTTGACACAGTTAATAGGCAAGACCTGGTTTACACTCTTCGAAAAATCGGTTGAGTGCCAACGCTTTATTTTATAATTATGTTATAATACTAGCTGGTGCCCGCGACTTCGTCTGCGCAGGGTTAGTATTTCGAGTCGCTTATATTAGCGTGGCGTATAAAAGAACTTACATTATGACATTAAAATTATCACCTAAATAATTTTTGGAACAATCCCTTAGACCACTCCCCGTGATAAATGCGATGAAATACGCAAAGAGATGCAACATCTCTTCGCAGTGGCTGTGAGTCAAGCCGATCGGAAAGAGCTCGGTCGCCGACGATTCGAACGGCTCTGCGCTGGATGCAATCAAATGGAAGGAGCTGGCACTGGATATCCCCAGCCCAGAGATGGGAACAGTACTCCATGTGCGGCTGAACCTGCGCCTTATAAAGTTGTAGGTGGTGTGCCGGCATGAAATACTGTCCCGCTCTACTGAGCACGTCAAACTTTTAAGCAAGGTCATTTGGAAGAGAAGGCCAAATTGGCCTAATTTGGCCTTCTCTTCCAAATGACCACGAAACTGCTCGCACGCACGCACTGCACGGATTCCGATACTGGCTGAGGCAACAAGAGGAGTGCCTTGAAACTGAGGAGGTGTCCCACAAACCTACACTATTTTTTCTGCATATCAATGATATGTAGCAAATATAACATTAATTGTTATGCGGACGACAGCACTGATGATGCTTTATACAATGGTTGTGCCAATATTTCTCGAGAACACGGCGTCGAGTACTGGACCAAACTTGTGTCTGAAGTCGAGTCTTTATTAAACAAAATCTGAAATTAGGGACGACGTTTTATAGAATAGGGGTGAAAAACGAGCACACAGTCCACCATCTACCATCATCATCATCGTCATCATCATCATTACAAGTCCACTCCTGAACATGGAAGGAAGTTCCTAGTACATCCTGTATTCTCGAAATATTTAAGATTTTCTTATAGAATAAGTGCGACAAACGAGCACACAGTCCACCTGATGGTAAGCGGATGCTGTGGCCCATTGACATCTTCATTTATCCGCGATTGAGAATCAAAACGCAGATGCGTTGTCACCACGAGTACTAAGATGAAATGCCTCGTTTCCAGTAAAAAAAGGTTTTCCGGATCTCTACACTCACCATACGAAACACAGCAGTATTAAGCTGATATTTTACGCTGGTATTCTGTGAGAGCGTGGTCCTTCCTCGGTCAAGCCGACTCATTCGCGCTACAACCATAATATAGCTGCAGCGTGGCTCTACCAAGTATGACTAAATTTAAGCCTAGGCCCTCAGAAAACTTATTTTTGCTAAAAGGAGTCATTTTGATCTTGTTTTCTT